CGTGGGAACAGTTCGTGCGTATCTTCCGCTGGACCGGTTGAACGATTTTAGCCACTCTGTAGATACAGAAATGAACAGAAAGATACACAGGCCTTTAGATTAATATAGGTAGGCAGAACTGATGTGTAAGTATATACACGCAGATAGACAGGCCGGTAGATAAAGCGAAAGACAGAGAAGTTAATTACAGACAGATATATAGGTAGATAGGTAAATAGGTAGACGCAGGTAAGTAAATAGATATAGATAGATAAACAGATATATAAATGATAGGTAAACAGATAGAGATAAAGAGACAAACAGAGATAAGTAAACAGATAAACACAGATACATAATTTGATAGATAGTACAAAGGTTAATTAATTCCGTCCAGTATGTTCAGTCACACTAGACGGAATTAACCTCTGTAATATTGTTAGTGTGACAGATAGATAAGATAGGATAGGATGGTAGGTAAATAGATATAAATAAACACAGATACATAAGTACATAGACACACGGATGGATGGGTAGATAGAAAGATGGACGGACGGCGTGACATAAAGGTCGACAGAAGGTCGCTCTTCCTCTTGTGACGTTTAGATATATGCAGCTACACTTATAATGTTTCAGGATGCCACTTTCCGCCGCAAAATGAAACATCTCCGTCTAGTTCTATGGCGATCTTGCTCTCACGGAAGTGAGTACGGCCCTCAGGCGGGAACACGTGAACAAGAGTTGACGCATGCGTAATGACTTGGCATTCAGTCTATCGAGCTTTTGTATCGTTAAAGAAATAGCCAAAATAGTAATTCAAAAACACGTCCTGAGTATTTGTGTCGTTGCCAGGCGGAGCCACTGGTCTGTGTTTACGGCTGCTGGCGCCGCGACCGGGTCATAATATCGCAAGGTTGGCCAGACACACGCACTTCGATACGAGGTTTTTGCCTATTTATATGACCCCCCCCCCCTTCTTATATGATTCTGGGAACTGTAGAGAGAGACATTATATGGACCAGGGATAACAGCATGAATTCCCTGCCTTGTTCCAAACCCTGCAGGTAAATATCTCGTTATAAGGCAGTGGTAAGCATGTGTACCGCGTGTTTCAACACTCAGTAATTCGGCACGTCGTCCACGCAGTCCATTTGTGAATGTTTGCTTTTCTGTATGTGCCCACCTCTGTGGTCTAGTGGTCAGATTTCCTGGCTACAGATCCACAGGTCCGGGTGTGATTCCCGGCGCTACCAGATTTTTTCTGAGAAGTAATGGGTCTGGAACGGGTTCCACTCAGCCTCATGAGGATAACTGATGAGCTGTTTGAAGGAAATAGCAGCTTCGGTCTAGAAAATCGAAATTAACGGCCGTGGGGAACCGTTGCGCTCACCACACGACACCTTATATTCGCTGAAGTTGGCACTAACGTTGCCCACAAGCGGCGGTCGCTCGGCCGGTATAATTCGCTTGCGGACTAACACCACGGAGTTTTTTTTTGCTTTCCTGTATACATATATTTTTTTCCATTCTATATATCGTTAAAAAACATACTCAAGTTGTACAAATGAGACCTATTTGCGCGTCATCGTGTGCATGACATTTGCCTTTCAACTTGCGTTGCCACTACTTATCACAAAATCTGGTAGAGCTGGGAATCAAACCCGGACCTATAGATCTGTAGCCAGGAACTCTAAATCACTAGACCAGAGAGGCGGTCATAGTTACGTATCAGACTTGTATTCTACGTGCGTAGGTTGCCAAAACTTTGCTTACTGTTCCAGGTCTATTTTAAGAAATAGTTGCGTCATAAACTGTGTTCCTACTGGCTACATTATGGTTAACGCTTTTCATGACATGATGTCTCAGCGAATAATTAAGTAGTTTGGACAAAAAAAGACCAGCTGAATTAAAATACTGTGAAAATGATATCCCCGCCTTTCCCCCCCCCCCAGTACATCGCCTTGCAATTAATAAGACACGTGCAAGCAATTTTGTCCAACTAGTCTCGTTGTCCCTTGCTGCTTTTCCATTTTGACCTTGATTGTCAAAGCTGCACGTTATTGTACACGTAGGAGCTTTGTTCCACGGTTGCGCCAAGTGGCGCCTCTACTGCGCCACATTATAAAGAGATGTTGGCGATATGCTTGGCTGATCAACTGCTCACAACCCAACCTCTGACCTACCAAGCCTTCATAACATAATTATTACCACATATAGTCTTGTTAGACTTGGAGTAATATATTACCAAACAATTAAAATACTGGAACTCCCCACAAATATTAATAGAACATTACCCATCGCACATTCATGTGAGGTACCCGGATTTGATTCTTCGTGAGATTGGGAACCCCAACCAGGATATTTTATTTTTTATTACTGAAGAGCCGGGATAGCCCAGTTGGTATAGTGACTGGCTACTGGCTGGACAACCCAGGGACCGGATTTCGAGTCCCGGTAAAGTAAAGAATTTTTACTTCTTCATGTCGTCGAGATTGGCTCTGGGGTCCGCCAAACCTCCTATCCAATGGGCATGGGGGGAGGGGGGCTATTTCACGGGGCTAAAGTAGAAGGGGCGTGAAGCTCATCACACACCTCCATTTTTTTTTTAATTCGCTTAGTGGGGGGTGGATTCCAACTGGGTCCACTCGGCACGGCGGTCAGTGATTGGCCTATTGTAGCCTGCCCCGGGTGATTATGATGATGGAGAATTTGGTGGAATCAAGATTGGCAGGGCAAACCGAAGTACTCGGAAAAAACCCGTCCCAGCGCCACCTTGTCCACCACAAATCCCTCTCTCACCTCCAGTTAATGCCGAGGTCAAGAAAACGTGGATCTATATATCCACTCCTCCATACGCCTTCATGACGTAGTGCTTAATTATTTAAGTACAGGGAAAAATTTACATTACTACTACTACTGCACTCGGTACGTCGGCCAGTGCTGGCCTATTGTACTAGCCCCAGATATGTGATGGTGATTGTGGAGAACACGTTCCCCAGCGCCGCTTTGTCCACCACAGATCCCGCACGACCTGACCCAAGCCGCTGCGGTGGGAAGTCGGCGACTATCCGCCTGAGTTACGGCACGGCCTCCCCACCAGGATACTGCAGCGTCCTGTTTAGGCTTCTGTGGTCTAGTGGTCAGAGTTCCTGGCTACAGATCCAGAGGTCGAGGGTTCGATTCCCGGCGCTACCAGATTTTGTTGAGAAGTAGTGGGTCTGGAACGGGGTCCACTCAGCCTCGTGACGATAACTGAGAAGCTACTTGAAGGAAATAGCGGCTTCGGTCTAGAAATCCGAGATTAACTGCCGTCGGGATCTGTTGCCCTGACCACGCGACACCCTCTATTCGTTAAAGTTGGCACTAACTTCGCCGACAAGCGGCGGTCGCTAGGTTGGTATAGTTCGCTTGCGCACTACAGGCCACGGAGTTTATATTAGTTTAATTCGTGTTTCTATACACATTTCTAGTTCTCGCCTGTTTAAGTTAATCGCTGTGAACAAGCACTCGGATAAAGAAACTGATTATTAATTGATAAATATTACTGCGACTGATACCGTATTAATTAAATAATGTTCCTGGAGAGTAGAGCGCGGCCGGCGCGTAAGGCTGACAACCTTACCGCCATCTTTGAGCCGATTGTCTGGATAAGGTGGGATGGTATGGATTGGATAGATCTGGCTCAGGATAGGGACCAGTGGAGGGCTCTTGTGAACACGGTGATGAACCTTCGGGTTCCATAAAATGCTGGGAAATTCTAGATTAGCTGCAGAATTGGCGGCTACTCAAGAAGGGCCCAGCTCCATGAGTGAGTGAGTAAGTAAGTAAGTAAGTAAGTAAGTAAGTAAGTAAGTAAGTAAGTAAGTAAGTAAGTAAGTAAGTAAGTGTAATTATTTCTTGCTGTCATACAGTTATGAATCTTCCGATCATAAAATACTGATTGTAACCACTGCATATGTATAATGTCACGTGGATTAATGATTAGTAGCCGAGGTTGGGTATTCAATAGTCGTAACTACAAATTATATTAATGTATCTATATCTGCTAAGTGACAAATCTAAACAATAGTTATTCTCTGCAAAGTTTTCACTGTCCGTTTCTTGGCAACGGGTTTTAACACAGGAACTATAACTGTCACATTCCCAATATCACTGCACTACAGCACACATGAAGTCTTCAAATCCCACGTTAGGTCTTCACAAGTCGAATTCTAATTCCTCTTCAACTACGAATTTCCCGTGGCTATCTCGCACCGACAGCTGACTGACTTATAGCGCCGATTGTCTTCAAGATACCTCCTCTGCACGGACGCCACGGAAAACACCGTTTTGTTTTGTTAAGAGTGCGTCTTTACAGTTTTCGTTGCCTAGTAATAGACGTCCTATTGTTCCGTGCTTTTGCTTGGCGCAGACCACATAGAAAACACAGTTATCCTATATTTTTGCATGTTGGGAAGTGTTTACTCAGCCGTTGCCTGGCAATGCTTTGATAAAATCTGTTAAATAAATTTTACTTTTCTCGCCTCTTGATAACTTCGGTTTTTAATGGAACAACATTCACCACCACCACCACGCTCCTTATCATTCTACACTGTATAATCCGAGTAACTGACAGCGTTATGTTATGGTTATTTTACGATGAACTTCAAAATTGTCGACTGGTATCAGAGGTGAATAATGAATTTGATCTGGAAGGAAACGGCCGTGACGTCGAGGTACTGAAGAATACCACGAACAAATTAGGTCAAGGTGGCCCATGTCCTAGTTGAAATTCGAATGACCACTTCCTGAATACAAGTCTGAATGCGACTGCTTGGGGTAGCTCGTGAAATAGCAAACTCTGTGGATATGTGCCGGCCTTATCCCAAACTGTGGCGGCGTTCGTGCGCAGTCTCGTTTTACTGCGACTTGTACGGCCGGGCCATCTTTCTGTCTGCATCAGGCTTAGCTCTGTGACGAATGAACAATTCTCAAGAGTCTGAACTGGATATCTTCCGCTATAAATTTCCTATCCTTGTCCACAGGGTCTCAGGCGGGAGGGGGCTTACGCTGTCAGAAGGAAAACCTGTGGGACTTCACTGAGAGGCGCCGCGAATCCCCAGCACAAGCTGCAAGACGACCGTTGCTTCATGCATGTAAGCACAACCTTCACTCCGGTGTTGTCGAATATATGTTTCTCTCAGCATTTTTGAGGGTCATTGTTTAACAACTACTTAACCAATCAGCTATGGTATTTTACTAATCAACAAACAAATCAGCCGTCTTCCTGGTATTAGAACCAAGATAAAGAGATAAAGCTATCCCTGTAAGAGGCCGAGGAAGGTTGTGAGACGTCGAAGATCCCACATTTTCTAGACAATCGGCTCACAGATGGCGGTGAGATTGTCAGCCCTACACCCCGGCCACTCTTTACCTCCAGAAAAATTCCTCGTACCCATTTCTCTTGGAGGCTGAGTCGATGTTAGGACATTAAATGATCAAAACTCCGCACGTATGAGGCCTTGCACCAGAGAAATCTCTCGACTGAGATCACCATTGGAGAGAAACAATACTTCCTTATGGTACCAACACAAGAAAAACAAATTTTCCCTTTCAGTCTACGCTTGGCGATGTTGTACTTTGTTGACTTCTGCTGTGATAACGGGGGGTCCAGATAGGACAGATCGGATGACCCAGCAGAGACATGTTGGCCGATTCCTTGCTATTCCCGCACGTGGTCTGCAAGACCTTCGCTTCATACCTGTATAACCTGGTTTTGGAAGCGTAACTATTTTAGTAATAATTTTGAAAAGTAGTCGCGGCAGGTGTTGAATTATTATATTCTTGCACGTCGTGAGGTCTACGTACTTTACACGGTTTGAGGTGGTGGACAATCCAAGCAATTTAAGCATGATTTGTAGCCCTCACCCGGTCTATCAGTGACCGTTTGAGGAAGTCACTCACTACCTGCTCAGTGCTAACTGTAAAGATACGATAAACATCCGAATTTACACCCGTAAACGTGTTTAATTTTTCCTGAATTGCAGTCCACTTATCTCTTTAACGGTAAGGGATTAATGTTTGTTAAGCTTCAGTTGGACCGTCTCTGTGGTCTAGTAGTTCCTGGCTACAGATCCAGAGATCCCGGGTTCGATTCCCTGTGCTACCACATTTTCTGAGAAGTAGTGACTTTAAAACGTGTTCCACTCAGCCTCGAGTGGATAACTGAGGAACTATTTCAATGAAATAGCGGCTCCGGTCTAGAAAACCGAGATTAACGGCCGTGGGGATCCGTTGCGCTGACCACGTGACACCCTCTATCCGCTAAAGTTGGCACAAACTTCGCCGGCAAGCGGCGGTCGCTAGGTCGGTATAGTTCGTTTGCGGACTACAGGCCACGGAGTTTAAGCTTCTAGTTACCCTTCAGGTGCCTTTCGTGTTGTTGGTATAACGCTTTCTGTCAGTGTTCCATAGTTCTTTGATTGCGGAATTGCCACCGCGGTGGGAAGCCGACGACTAAACGGCTAAGCTATGTCACGGCCTATATCACGGTTTTTTTATTGCTAGTGGGGTGGGACTAAGTCCCTTGTACTGCGGCCACTTCTGGCCTATTGTGCCAGCCCTACATGATAGGTGAGGGTGCTTGTGGAGCAATTGGTGGAATGAAGATTGGCAGGGGAAACTGAAGTACTCGGAGAAAACCTGCCCCAGCGCCACTTTGCCCACCACAAATCCAACTTGACCAGACCTGGGATCAAACCCGGGCCGCCGCTGTGGGAAGCCAGCAACTAACCGCTTGAGCTATGGCGCGGCCAACGTCGAGACTTAGGGGCGACTGAAGAATGAGTGTGGCTCGTCCCCCGTCGCGGCTGAGAGGGTGAAACAGGTATGTTCTGTTCTGGCGAAGGTATGCCACTTTCACAGTTGACAGGCTTTCTTGCAACAGGCTGAAAGCTAATGTTTACCGAAAGGTTGGAACACAAGCCAAAGGTGCAGTTTAATTTATGGGCAAGCCGGGGATCTTGCCTGTAATGGTACTGTGGAATTTCCGCGTGAGGCACAAGCATGTATTTGGATGGAAGGTCACGCGGTTGATTTGAACTATAGAGTTGTGGAGGAGGTTGTGGGAGTTGTATAGTGGCAAAATTCAGAGGCCTGCTCCAAGCGTGTCTGGGACTCATAGGCGGATAGTCGTGGAGGCTTCTGAATGGGGATTAATGCGGGAGGATAGATTGACATGATCGCGCTCTGCCCATGTTAGGAGGCTGTAGATTATTTGGTTTGGTATCTAACTTTTCAGACCGAGGTTTATCTCTCATCTCCTTTCCCATGCGTTTGCGGAAATAGGGACAAACTACGTACTTCGATCCATGATCTCCGATTTTGCAGAGCGCATGTCGCGCACTAAGGTGAGTTCGAAACACTTTTGCATTTCAATTTCTGGACGCAAGCCAGAGGGTCCTAACTAACAGTTTGCCGCCACGTGAAAGAAATACAGTGAATCTGATATAGGGAGAAATTGCGAAGTTCTCTGGCCATGGAACGTTGTCTAGCTCAACTGTGTGCATGGGCAGAGGCGTTGTCTCTCCATGCAATCACTGGGATGACATTTTGAACTGCCAACCCAAGGTCATTCATTTTGAATGGCTTTAGGAGGGGTAGTAGAGGGATTAAACCACTCTGTACGATTTGGAATCATTATGCTTAATGAGATTAAACGGGACTATTTTCTTTGCAAGTTAAGATAATCTTGATACGCTGAAGTATGACGTGCTGTTCCAGCTTTTATTCTATTGGTTGTTAAGAATATAGGCTGGAATTTGGAGTGCAAATCTCTGTTTAGTCTGGTCTTGTCGCCAAGTGAGGGTGCCTGACAACAGGTGGTATCAGCTGTCTGGGTGCGGTTAGGAGTTTGTTCTTGTTGTGTTCCGAGCTATCAGAAATATGACTGTCAGGAGTTGGACAGGAGGGCAAAGGCGTATTACTGGCATTTTCTGTTACTATTGGTTTTATTTTTGTTTTACCTTGTATCATTTTTAGTGGTAATGAAAGTGAAGTCATCATCCTCCGCAATCTTGTCTACGTTTGGCGGTTCAGGAGAGGCTGTTGCAGATAATGCAGGTCTCTGTGCACCTTGGGAGCTGTATACATCTGCAGCTATTGTAACGTTCTGATGCCAGAAAGGCATATCACAAGATACAGACAAAATAATTTTGTNATAAACATTGCCTCCCTTTGTTTATTTTTAAAGCAATTATTCTGCTACAGCTTGACAATCAGTATTAACTTTGTGACCTCAAGCGTTCCGTCAAAATTCCTTGGTAAATTAAAAAAAAAGATCCAGTTATCTGTTAAGTGTACTTAAATGTGATTATCTCAGCGCTAATGTTTAACCACAGTCAGATAATATCCAAACTATTCTAAACGGCTCAATTACATATAATTATGCTAATCGCGGCCTCTCTTAAAAGGATACTTCTTAAGAGACCTTGATTCATGTGGAATGTTTGTTTTTCCATGTTGTTTACATCAACCGGCGTCACTTCACGAGAGTGCTGAGCCGGTTGGCGTAGCGGTAACACTCTAAACTCGTATTCGGAAGGTGCTTAGTTCGAACCTGAGCCCTAAACAGAGGCATTATTGACTGTTCTTCGTGGGGATACTCAGTCCCTCTTAGATCACACCGGCTTCTTCAAAAATCGTTTCCAGATCATTCAGTTACTATTCTACAGTTCTACGCTGTACACTGTAACTGTTGGCAACATCATAAAGTAGACCTCCCAGCCTCACAGACTGTTCTCAAACTGTGGTTCGGGGTGCTATCTTGTTTTCAGGCAAAAACTCGCGTAACAAGGAAGTCGTGCAGACGAACATGAAGGAAATTTTAATGAAGCAGCGGTAAAGCCCAAAAGTTTTAATCTCGGCTGGATTTGTGGCCACCCCGACGGAGATTTTCCTCAGTCTCGCCATTAGGACGTTGGGATATTACCTTAAAATATCATAATACAGTAGTCATTCAGGCTACATTCTCGTATAATGCCTGCTTATTGAAGATGCCATCTGGGCATATTAATAGTTTCCCCACAGCAAAGCCTGAATTATTTCCTAATCATGGTGTGACACTTTGCCTAACATTATTATTTTGGGCTTTGTCCACCGTCGAAGCTGTCTCTATGATTAGACAATTAAGCACTACGCTATGAAGACGTAAGGGGGTGTGGATGTATAGATTCACGTTTTCTTGACTTCTGCGCTAGTTGGAGGTCAGTGGTCAGCTTCACGCCTCAGCTGCTTTACCCCCGGGAGAGGATAAGAGGTTGGATGGGCCGCAGAGCCAGCCTAGACGTGGAGAAAATTTATGACCCTACCAGAACTCGAACTCCGACCCCTCGGTCGTCCAGCCCGTAGCCAGTCGCTATACCGACTACGCTATCCCGGCTCCAGATTAAAACCGTTAGGTTTCAGAAAATAAATCTGCTTCCATCTTTAGATAGAGAATGTGTCGTAACAACAGCATGACTCCTGTTCCGGACACGCTCGGTTCTAATCTCGTCCGGAACACGGGGAATTTTGAGGTATTTCATGATTTTTCTCAGCCCCTGCAGAAAAATGTATGGATACTACCTAGATCAGGTCTCGACTGCTTCCTTCCAAATCCTTTCCAGTTTATTGTTAACTATAATCCTGCCATTCGACGTTATATAGCACAGGTACTGAGTGCGTCATTAAATAATCCATAAAAAAAAGGTACAAACCCCCACTTCTTTGGGGTGTCTTGGTAGAGTTACTCTCAAACCGTGGTTGACAGCGAGGACTGTGCGTGAGACGACGAAATCTCCAAGTCATTTGTCACGAGCAACTGAATTTAATAACGCAAACGCTGTCGTGAACGTCCCAGGTTCCGTAATAGGTGAACATTGGTCTGTCTTTATTAACTAAATTTACTGCTGCTGTCAGGGTCCCTGACAGTTAATTTTTCCCATGTCTCCACTATGCTACAAGCCGGAAGGACGCGGATTTGATTCCCGACGAAGTCGATTTTTTCGATCCATCTAATATTTCCAGCAGCACTAATGGCCGTAGGGTCCACTCAGCCTCTGACAGAAATGAGTACCAGGAATCTTCCTGAGTGGTGAGGAGCGGCGCATAAGGCTGA